CGTTTTTTATTTTCCTTTTCAGCGAAATGCAATTAAAAGCCTTAGAGCTTGAAAATTGTTTAAAAATAAATACATTTATTTTTCTAACTTAACTTCAATGATTACATTATGCTATTTGGACTGGGACATTGACTGCATTTCATAGAAAGACAGAACAAAATGGTTCGACCACCTGTTACGTATGTTACCTAGCCAGCCAGCCTTGAGAACCTATAACACCAAGCACTCAAGCTATAAAGGAAGAGGAAGGCCACACAAAGGGTGGATTGAAGTTGTCAAGGAAGCCCTGATAAATCATAGTATCCGAACTGAAAGAGCTGCGGAGCTAGCCTACCATAGAAAACTGCATCTCCCCTTTATGCATAATGGCAACAGAGGATGAAAAAGTAAAAGTAAGTAATTGATCAATAATGTTCCAAGACATATTTCCCAGACAAATACCTCCTGTAGATGCCCCTGTCTGTGGGTGCTCCTCCGGCTAGTCCTCCTGTCCGCGGCTGGTCCTGGTGATGAAGACATGTCAATTAATACAATCGTCTTACACATCTATATAGTTTCCATTTTTCTTTCAGAAAATAAAGAGTTGATATATTTTTACAACTGGTTTAAAAGGACATTAATAAAAATCTGTCAGTAAATACGTAGGCCTCTTATTACTTTCCCTTTTCACCTAAATGTAAAAATAAAACTTTTACCTTTAAATCAAAAGAACCGATAGATATTTTTCTTCTTTCTTTTTTTTTTGTAGAGGTTTTACGGCGCTCACAACTGAATAAGGTCATATGACCACCATGGGGTGGATGTCAACAGAGAAGTTTTTACAGGGAATCAGACTTACTCTGCTCACCTTTCTGGCTTCAACAGCACAAAGTCTCTTTCGACTTTCAAAGCACCCCGGAAATAGTGGGTCACAAGAGTGTGACAAACATAAAAAAGTAGAGGAAAATGACGATAGTAAGGATTGGGAAAGTAAAAGAAGCAGTTGCCTGTTGTAGTTCAGGCACAGTTATGAGCATGACATTGTTGAATCTGCCCTTTTACAATTCTACTGTACATAAGAACTGAAGTAGGGTCAGACTCGCTAAATCAGCGTCCGTGAGTAACGAAGTGCTCGCTGGCACTACCCGCAAACAAGCGGACGGGTAACGAGCCATCCGCTTGTGAAAAGTAGTTCGCTACTCGCTACTCATTGGACAGAGACAACAGTTCATTTAGCCAGCGAGCGGACGGGTGGATGGAGAGACTCCATGCATTCAAGCAGGCAGGCAGACGGACAGGGAGCGACTCCTATTGCATACTATTTACACCCTGCCCCCCTCGTAAAACATTCACCTTCCTGCCCCACATTGTAGCTAGGTGTTCATGCTGGAAACTGCTCTCCCCTCCCCCCCCCCCCCCATAAAAAGTCCTTTGGAAATTCTTTTTTGAGTGACTGAGCAGGTGTTTTACGGCACTATCGACCCAAATTCTTTAAACTTCGCCTTCAGGTTAAATTGGAACATACACAGTGTGAACCACACACGAGGTGAAAGGTTACACACATAGTGCTACGTCACCAGCCTCTCTCACTCCCTGTGGCACCGCAAGTGGTTGAAACACTATGCCTAACAAACAATAGACGGCGGGCCTAACATCGAGTCGAGTATCTCGTGTGCTCGAGTTAGTCCGTTCGCCCGCCCGTTAAGTGAATTAAATTGTGGAGCGGACCAAAAAAAAAAGAACTGACTTGAGGTCCGCAGTCTGCTCGCTGAGAGAGTAAAATTGTGGAGTGGGCCCAAAAAATGAACTGTCTTGAGGTTCGCAGTTCACTCGCATGGCCGTCCGTTACCCGCTCGCTCTGACAGTCCGCGAGTAACGAACCCATCCATCCGCTCGCCCCAACTCTAATAAAAACGAGAAGGGTGGGGGGTATTTTTAAAATTTTGCTTTAATTATAAATTAACAAATAATGTTCCAAGACATTATTTTCCAGACAAATACCTCCTGTAGATGCTCCTGTCTGTGGGTGCTCCTCCGGCTGATCCTCCTGTCTGTGGCTGGTCCTGGTGATGAAGACGTGTCAATTAATATAATCGTATTGTATCTATACAGTTTGCATTTTTTGTTTCAGAATATACAAGAGGGGATATATTTTTACTACTGGTTTAACTGTTTAACTATGTCTCGACAGTTGCAGTGTCCGGCAGTCGAGGTCCATAACTATGGCTGGACCGATGCGAAGTCATTGTATTATGGTAGGAGCCGAATATAAAAAAGTATGAGCTAACAGAGCCTTTAGTTTGACCCGGAAGTCAAAGATAAATGAATTCTACATCTGCGTAATGCTTAATTGATGAGTTTGACTCGAAACAAGTGGTTTTATAAACGTAATATGTCGGGTCGCATTTCGACAAACACGAGAGAATTACGCGGACACGTGATTTCAAATTGCATGTTGAAAGGCCAGAAAAGACGGGTCAGGAGAAATGTTTTGTTAGTTTTCTTTTTCACCAAAATGCAAAAACAAATCTTCCACCTTGAAATAACAAAACCAATAGTTATTTTTCTAATTTTACTTTAATTATTAATAAATAATGTTCCAAGACATATTTCCAAGACAAATACCTCCTGTAGATGATCCTGTCTGTGGGTGCTCCTCCAGCTGGTCCTCCTGTCCGCGGCTGGTCCTGGTGATGAAGACGTGTCAATTAATACAATCGTCTTACATCTATACATACAGTTTGTATTCTTTTCGTGAAAAAATAAACTGTCGCTAAAATATTTTTGCTACTTGTTTAAAAAGCATCAAAGACATTTTTAAAAATTTGTCCAAAAATATGTTTCATCATTTGTCAATCAATACTATTGTCTTACGTCTATACAGTTTGCATTTTTGTTTCAAAATATAAAAAGAGTCGTTGTAATATTGTTAATCACCAGTTTAAAAGGACAGAAGGTCATTAATAAAAACCTTTCAGTAAAAATACATTCTATCATTCTCTCTTTCCACCTAAATGCAACAATAAAACTTTAACTCGAAAAACTATAATAATGAACACCGAGACATATTTCCCAGACAAATACCTCATGTAGACGTCCTGTCTGCGGGTGCTCCTCTTGGTCGTCCAGGTGGTCCTTAAGGAACAATCCAGTATACACGCCACTCCAACATCATCACACTCAAACTCAAAATCAGCAGGAAGCTCTACACACACCATTCTACCCCTGCAACCCCCTCCCCCCTTCCAAAAAAAAAAAAAAAAAAAAACCTACACTGCCCCCTCAACTACCTCCCGCCATGGCCATGGCAATATCTACAAAATCCTACTCTGAACCTAGCCTATCCACCTAGCTCCCTATCAACCTATCTGCCTATCTCTTCAGCCCCACTGCGTCACTTCAAGCCTGAGTGTGATATACGGAAATCGTAGAAGCAGACCACTTTGATACTTGTTGGACCAGAAAAGTGAACAAACCGTCTGATGTCACCAAACTTTGAACTGAAGGAAAGGGATAGAATTGCCTCGTCATCTTTCTAGTTCAGTGATCTCATATAGCGAAGCAGCTTCTGTACAATATCTGAAACAGTACATCATACAAAGAATTTTTCTGGCGTTGAGTCCATGTTTTTACAGCCCTATCCGCACAATTTCACACAAGCTTGAGAAATCAAAGTGCACAGTCAGCTGTTATATTTGCCAGTTATCGTTCGCTGGTGTAACTGACAGAAGTCCATTTCAGGGTAGCTGTGGCAGTATATTCGTCTGGCTGGTTGTCTAAGAGTGAGTGGAAGGTCCGTGCTGTCTGGGCAGGATGTCAGCTTCTTGGGTGACTATCAGCTGTTGGCTTCTCATGTGGGTGCTGGCTTTCTGTGAAAAATACATTTGAAGTCAAATTAGTTATTAATTAAACTTTACAGTTTAAGCAAAGAAAGGCACATCCAAGGCAATAACAATTATCAAAATGTAGGGAAAAAATACGACAGACAGGCACAAACTACAGGGGAAAGGAAACGAGAAGGTTCTGTCATTGACACCTCCCACCCATCGACAATAACAAAAAGCAATATATTGGGGGTTTTTGGGGTGGGTTTTTGGGTTTGTGTTTTACGGCGCTCACAACTGCATAAGGTTATATGAGCTCGCGGGACACATTAAACTTTTTCAGTTGGTAGGAAATTTTGAAATTTGCCCGGGTGGCGGTCAAAGCCTACTCTTATCGATTGGGAACAACCAAGGGATCTTTAACGTGCGCAACTTGCACTCGGGCCCTCTGAGATTTTTCGCCCTTGTCTGAGAAGGCTAGGTGCAGATCTTTCTTACCAGAAGATCAGGGGTGTGGCTGAAAGACAGCAGTAAGAAGGAACCAGGGAGAAGCAGTAGAAAGGCTGCAGAAAGAGTCAGAAGCCCACAGGAGGGGGCAAAGGAGGTGAGGGGGTGGGGGCAAAGGAGGTGAGGGGGTGGGGGCAAAAAGAGGCAGACGATAGAACATTGCTAGAGAGCAGGCAATGAGGTGAAACGAGTCAATTTTAGAGAAGAATTTTTTTGGTCGCTACCCGGACTCGAACCCGGGATCTTCGAATGAGCGGCCAACACCCTAACCTCTAGGTCACGAGAGCCCCCATATTGGTTTTTGATTGAGTATTATGTTCTATATCGCTAAAGAGAAAATCTGTTCATGTATTTGACACAGATTTACAGATTTTCCAAACATCAGCTTTTCTTACTACTGAAAAGGATGGACAAACATTTACAAAAATCTGTCTGCAAAATTATGAGTTAAAATTGTTCACTTTTTTACAACTTTGATAATATGCATTTCTTTGCAGACTAAATTTTTGCAAAACAAAGATCTTTCCTGGGTCAATAATATTAACAATGACTTCCTGTTGGGGCATTTAAAATACCAAATACTGGTATAAGCGTATCTTTGAATTCACCGCATTCTATCAAAATAAGCCAAACAATAGAAGAAACAAATTGTAGCATGTTATAAAGAAAGGACATTTTTATCCTAGGAGATGTTCTTCACATGGTTGTGTATTTTTGACCAATTAAAACTTCCATTATTCCAATATTAGTATCAGTGTGATAATGCAACCTATTGAAGGAGAGAAGGAGAGGTTCCACCTTCAGGGACAAAAAGCAACCAATATCATAAATTGTTCTCAGTTGAATTGATTTAACAAGCAAATATTCAGGTCTTAGGTTAATTTTAGACTCATTACTCGACATGACCAGGGGCATTTTTTGAGAGACACCTAAATACAAACATGTAATTTGAAGTTGGAACTCAAAACTCACCAATTATTGGTACTTTTTAATTTCTAAAGTAGTAATTGAGTTAATGTCCTAATACGGGACGTCTGTTAATAGGGGGAGGGGGAGAGGGAGGGAGGGAGGGAGGGAGAGGGAGAGGGAGAGAGGGAGAGAGAGAGAGAGAGAGAGAGAGAGAGAGAGAGAGAGAGAGAGAGAGAGAGATTGCTGTGGCTTAAATTAAGAGTCGCAAGGGTGGTTGCAGGGTGTGGAATACTGAAAATAGAAATTACTAAATCTAAATCTGAAGGAACTAGGAGGAAGGGGTTAAAGGGGGGGGGGGTGCAGTTTGAGAAGAAAGAGTGCACAGGAAATACAAGTGAGAGAGAAACAACGGAACTAGCCCAAAATAGGGAAAGGGGAATGAAATGACCTTCCAGTACGCACAATATGTACAATGAGGAGGAGTGGGGAGAGACGAAGAATGAGGACTTGATAATAAGAATTGGAATACGGTTCAATATCAAGAAATACGAAAACAAATAACATACCTGAATATTTGCTAAGATATAATGGAATCCAGATCTCTATGTGTCGCCTGATCGCCTCGGTTTCATTAGCACAGGAGACGGGAAGGCAGTGTCCAATGTAGTTTTACTACTGGAATCACAAGTACCTGAAATGTCGCCAGCTTCGAACTGATTAATTTCTGCTCAAAGTGCCCTAAGAGAGCACGAACTGAATTGTATTCACCAAGTAGCTGTCTGCTGATTGGCTGTTGGATCTCCGAATTCTACTCATCAATCACTTTTTTTTTTTAGCTGAGTAGGCCTACTGTAAACGAGGCGTCACAAAAAAGCGTAGACTAACATAGTCAGGAAGACAACGTTGTTGGTTGTTTTT